GAGTGGCTGTGTATTTTGTGGACGAAACGCGGCAGCCGATTGCGCGCAGCGACGTTCCCACAAACAGTCGTGGATCGAGTGACCGATTTTGTTGGGGGGGGGGAGGGGGGATTATTACACCCCGTAAAGCGATCCGCCATCGACTCACAACCGGGTTCCTGCTCACTGCTCGGTAAACAGAGGCGTGTGGGATAAGGAAACTTGCCTATGGTTTCGCCGACCCCGGCCGGGAAGATATCAACTCGTTTACCATTTCAAAGCTTATGAACGCACCACCACCCTCAAAAGGTACAGATTTTTCCACTTAAAATCTCTACCTTTTGAGATTCTTACGTGGAAATCTCTTAAAATCGCCAGACTAGGGGGACGAGAGCGCCTGGCGTGCAGCAGAATATTGTAGAGGGCATCATTCCTTGGCTCCCTTGCTCTGTGGTAAAATCTTTAAGGGAGGAGGGAGTGCTCGATAAGCATTTAGTCAGTCAATCCAGTCAATCAGCGCTCCTCTTTCGATTCAACTCCAACCACGGATAAGATTTGAACCGCGCAAAGATTAGCTTTGCTTCCTCTTGAGGTTTCGAGTGCGCTTCTGAGAGCCTTAGCTCGGCATTTCCTGCCGGTCGGGAATGGTATTAAGATAACAATCCTTGCATTTGATACAGCGTCTTTCAGGTGGATGCCTTAACAGGGTCTGGCAGGGTTTTTATATCTCACAAAAAAATATTTAGAAGAGTTTTGCCAAAACTACAATTTACTTTACATTATATTCTACGAAGCGCCTGCGAAATGCACAGTCACTACACTTTAAGAAGAGGCACTTGGGTTCACAGCTCAAAGTTACCTCCGAGGAATAACAGCGAGTTATTATTGAAGGAGGAAAATATTGTATGGGGGTGGGGGGCAATTTTTAGACTGTGAATTCAAAGTCCCGATGTGCGTGGGGCCTAATCGCACAACCTTCTGACTCAAGAGGCGAGAGGGTACGCAACGCTGAAAAAAAAAAAAGGCTTATTGGGGCAATTAAAATAAAAAATTGAGAAGAATTTCTCTCGAGCAACACTGAAGGTATTTGAAATCAACGATGTGTGCGCCCGAGTAGATTTCCCAGAGCTATTTTTAAACACCGCAACATTACATTCCCCAAAACAGAAGTGGATTTCTGGTACTATAGTAAAATTCACAGTTTGGCGTCTGCATTTTGAAAGAGTAAATTGCATGTTTTGGAACCTGATGTAAGCAAATCCCCATTGAAGTTGGCAGTTACGCACCCTGAAATTTCAGCCCGTTTGAAAATAACCTGCAATTGCATCTGTGACATCAGACGACCCGTTAATTAGTGAGTAAATAAAATCCTCAGGAAAACTGGGAATGCCACTGCAATGAGCAAACCACCATTCAACCCGAAACAAAAGAGGACAGTAATGTGAGTGGTGATCTTACACGTGAAATCCCTGACAAACACTGTTCAGATGATTTATTAATCATAATAATAATCCTCTATTTCCCATCATCTTAATATTTCGCCCACAAATAAATAGTCAATTCACTTTACAGTATGTTATATGACGCTCTTTGAGCCGTCTCAACCACACGATTAGGCGCTATATTCGATGTAAGGATTATTGTACATTATTATCATAAATCTTGCACTTGGCACAGAATCTTTTGTGTCACGAAGGCACCTCAAAGCGCTTCACAGGCCGTAAAGTGTAGTGACTGTATTTCAGCAACCAAAGGACCTATTGGCAACAGTTATCAAGATATTTGCCACGCACATATCTGATTTATGAATCACTGTTCAGTAACAATTTTTTTAAAATCTGAAGGCAACGTGTTGCCACGTTGAAATATGCTCGAGTATACGGGTTAATAACGTATAAAAATAAATGATTAAAGGATAAAACCAGGGGTGCAAAGGAATAACAAACGACTTAACTGTTAAATGGGTCGATTTCTAAACGAATTACACATAAGAATAATCCTTGCATTTGATTACAACGTCTTATCACGTCACAATGATGTCAACCTGAATTTTGCGGTTTCCGGAGAAATCCACTTTTGTTTTGGAAATGTGGCAGAGTTCGTGTCATAATGTATTACAGTATATTCTGTACCACAGAATACAGATTCTAATAACCGCAATGTACCACATACACCGTAAAGCGAATTAACATACATATTAATAGATATTGATTAGTAAACCTGCAATCGGACAATAAGTGATTCAATCGTAGATTATTGTGCTTTGAGGGGTAAAGAAATAAATAAGTTAAAACAAAGGTCTACCAAAAAGCTTGGGTCACATGAGATCCCTTCAGAAAACCTCGCCATCATGTGCTACTTACTCACTGTGCACCAGGCTGCAGCGTACAGTACATGCAGTCAAATCCGACTGCGCGTGCGGAGAGACTGGCGCTGACACCTGGATTTTAAGCTCTCCGCACAAGCCACAGTAAAAGCAGGTTAAAGGAATCCACCTTCGAGCGTCATTTGAGGTGTAAATATCGACCAAAAAAAAAACACTAAAACATTTGCTTTAAAAGAAATGTCCCGGATTCAAATTTATTAATTTGTTTTTTTTGATGATTGCCTTGATCCCGAAAGAGTCTCAGCCCTTTGGGTGAATCGAGGTAAAAGTAAATTAGCGAGCCAGCCGGCCGGCTCGTTCCTTCCCCCCACCCCCCCACCCCGCCAGCCCACGTCAGCACAGAACTCAGCACTTGTACGGATTCCAAGCCGAACACAACGGAAAGAAAGAAGAGGGGGAGAGAGAAAAACTGGTCGCAAGAACGTAGGAACAGGAGGAGGCCATTCAGCCCCTCGAGCCTGTTCCGCCATTCTATCAGATCACGGCTGATCCGCACCTCAACTCCAATTTAAGCACTACGATTTTTTTGTTCGTTAAAACCACTCAAAGTTACTACGCGCGCCACATACAACGGGATTTTTTAGTTTCTCAGAGAGTGGTTTCCTTTCCCAAGTTATTTCCCGGCCTGTGTTTGCTCTGCGTCACAAGAACGGAGGAGCGGGACAGCTGCTCTGTCCGGCCTTCAATTCCGCAGCCTCGCACAATCTAGTAATAATCCTTGCATTTGATATAAGCTCCTTATCACGTCGCCGAGGTGTCTCAAAGCGCTTCACGGGATATACTGCAAAGTCAATTGACTGTGTGTGTTGCTATGGGATCTTTAACGTCCACCTGAACAGGGGGGAACCCCTCAGCTTCCGAAAGACGGCATCTCTGACAATCCGACACCCCCCAACGCTGCATTGGAGCATCGGCTTTGACTATGTGATTCCAGAATTGAATCAAAACTGCTGCAAGTGGCGAATACAACCGCAAAACAGGCCCACAAACTGCAACAAACAGGAGCTAAAGGTCTGATTCTCGTGGGTCTGACGGTGAGTTGGCATTAGAGAATGACAATTAAATGTCTGAAGTGGACACGGACGGACACACAGACCCACTCACACGCACACCACACACACATAACCAGTGGCTATGGCTGGTTGGTGAAAGCCTCGTAAGCAAAGGCCAACGATGCAAAAAAAAAACACTCTTCGCCACCACAAAGCGCTGAAATCTTCGATTTTCAAGGTAAGATACGCACTTAAATACACAACACTAAATAAACAACAACAATCTGCAATTTTTATTGGGTCAGACTGAACCATCGCTGTGCGTGAGAGTGTCCAAACCAGACACGAGTTGCGCACACACACACACACCCCACGTGGAAATTTCTCCCTGGAGGGATGCATCCTGCTTATCCCAAGGCTTGGGGTGGTGGGTGGGGGGGGGGTGAGGGGGGGGGAGGTCCTCGGAGTGTACGATGAGGTAACTGCTGAAAGCTGCACAGCGGGTCGAACTCCGACGCACACTCCTAAGCAACGAGAGCACCACCACCACCACCACCACAAATGACTTGACCACACTGAACCTTAATTAGAACACCACTGCTCACCTTTCAGCCCGACGTGCATTTTGCTACACGTTCAGCAAACAGCGTGCGGTTATTTACACATATTATATTTATATTATACCCCTCCGCGCGGGGTGTCGCGTCCCAGGGCGTTTGAACGTTCTAAATTCTAGGCAACAAAAAAAAATCATTGACCGCCACGTTCCTGCGCAGGCACGATCTTCAGACGTGATCAAGGCAAGAGCCAAGACAAGACCGCTCCCTTCACCCAATATCAAATGCAAGGATTATTATTATTATTATTATTATTATACACCCTTTACAATTCCTGTCACATGTCATTTGCGGTAACCGTCCCGGGATCTCACAACGAACAGCCACTACATTTTTTTTTGAACGCGTTACAAGAAAAGCCTTAAAAACTATAATAGGTACTCATTGAAAATGACACTGAACTTTGTATTAGTGTTATCTCATTTGGAGCATTATACTAAAACAGTACTAATAATAATAAACCCTCAAACCCTTACCCTCAAACCCCCTCCTAATCCCAACCCCCAACTCGGGTCCAAATCACTGTCTGTCCAGTGATTCGTTGCTGTTTCCGGTAATAATCTCTGCATTTGACCCAGCGGCAGGTGGAAACATCCCTCAAACGAGAGTGTAGTGACTGTGTAGTTGCGTCCCAAGCACTGATTGTATCGTAATCACAGTCGCAAATGCACTACAATTGCATTGTAATCGCGGTGGTGGTGGTGGGGGGGGGGGGGGAACTATTATTATTATTATCGTGAATAACAATAATAAAACGCAGTACAAGTAGACAAGTTTTCAGAATAAAAAGCAATGATGTCAATTGCGCAAAGGAGAAAGGGATGTTGCTGCAGCCGTCGGTTAATTCTCAACCAACACCCCAGTCATCAGCACAGTCAGTGTTAACTGAAGAGCTATGAAATCCTGCAGTCTGCCAGAAAGCAGCGTGAAACATTGCGCCGTATAAACCCTGGACAGATGTGACGCAGTGTGGGGAGCCGGCGGAGCAAAATGCAAGTGTAAAGGGGGAGTGAGAGGCAGACTTACTGGTGCTGTTCCCTTGCATTTGGATGATGCATTTCGAGTCCTTATTGATCTCCCGAGTGTTGAAGGGTCTCACCCGAACGGCCACTTTGACAGAAGCCCCAGACATCTTGCTGAATGATCTCTCCGTCTAATCCGTCCCTCTCTCTCTCTCTCTCTCTTTCTTCCTTTGTGGCACGGCTCACGTCTCTCAGTGCGTACGGTCTGGATTTATTTCGCTCTCCAGCCCCTGCGGCAAAGAAAAAAAAAAAACGACTACAGCACAACTTTTCTTTTAACCGACGCGCAGAGAAATGCATGCAACGTATACATAACAAGCGCACCGATAAAAACAACAACAACAACAACATCACCAATGATGTCATGTCTTGGTCACCCTCTCCCCGCTTGTAACGCTGACAGAAAAAATGGCTACCAATGTGGTGCTGCAGTGAAGCGAAACACACACCAAACCACACGTCCTTTTATACAATGCACACACGCGCACTCACTCACAGGCGCCTATTTATCGCCGCGCTGTACGTTATTAAGCAAACGTTTCGTATCCGAACACTCTCCCAACTCCCACATTAAACCCCCCCCTCCCCCCCCCCCCCCCCCCCCGACACATCAGATCCAAAGGCTCTTTAATTCTTAATAAAATAAAATTGGGGGGGAAACGAGAGCTGCCTTTTTTGCTTCAAACCCCCCAAAAATACATTGCAAATCACTTAATGCCAAGTTAACAGTGTAATGGTATTTTACACTGATATCAGATATTTTCCCTGTTATTTTAAATATATATATTGACAAAAAAAATCCTAAATGCACACGCCCTTAGTGTGCAATGAGACAAAAACACATTAGTTATTCCTGGACAGGTAGTCCAGCAAACACTAAATGAAACCAAACCAAGACTTTTTTTAGAAAAAATATAACAGGGTGTGTGCAAAGTATACATATAAATATATATATATATATCAAACACTGTCAAAGAAAGAAATGTTACAAGTAATTGCTCTGAAAACCAAAATTTCTGTTAAACTAAAATGAATTTAAAAAGATTAGAAATGTAGAAACTTAATGACAATTAGGGATTTCTTTTAGAAAAATAAAGAAAATCTCTCAAATCTCCACCTGAGGAGCAATTAATTGTTAATCACAGCAAAAGGAGAAATGCTTCGGTACAAAGAATGTGTGTGTGGGGGAGGGAGAGGGGGAGAGAGTGGGGGGAGAGTGGGGGGGGGGAGAGAGGGGGAGAGTGGGGGGGGAGAGGGGGGGGAGAGGGGGGGTGAAGGGGGGAGTGTGGGGGGGGGAGGGCGTCATGATGTACTGGTCAAAAAATGGGGGAATGGGGGGGAAGAGAGAAATGGAGAGGGGGGAGAGAGAGGGGGAAGGGAAGAGGGTGAGAGAAGGGAGAGAAAGGGAGAGGGGAGAGGCTGATGGGAGAGGAATGAAAGGGGGAAAGAGAGAGGAAGA